ATTAACCTGATGTATGTATTTGGAGATTGTTGGTACTGAATTCCAAAAAGCATCATCCCACACAGTTGCTGGAATGTATGGCATTGCATTCGTTTTTGATTTATGCATGTTTAGGATCCTAATGCGAGCAAACCAGAAGACTGGGATGATCGGGAATACATTGATGATCCGAATGACAGCAAACCGGCCGACTGGGATAAGCCAGAGTATATCAAGGATGCGGACGCCAAGAAACCGGAAGACTGGGATGACGATATGGATGGTGAGTGGGAGCCACCAATGATCGAGAATCCAGAATTCAAAGGCGAATGGCTACCGAGAACAATCCGGAACCCTGATTACAAGGTAGAGCTTTAGTTGAGTAAAGAATATCCTCATTCTCAGCTGATGACCTTGGTCAATCTTGGTGATCGTATTGGGTTTCTAATTTGCGTCAGTGTTCATTGGCTGATCAGATGTGAAGATCTGATATTCGTCATTCGCGCACTTCACTACTTCAAAATGAGCTCGTAAAGTTCTGGGGTTTATGAGTGATGAATTGTCGTAGTGCATGACCTGTTGTATTTGGTGATTGTGTGCGTTGATAGGTTTCCTTAGTCGAATGTTTCTGCATTTGTATTAACATGAATAGGTAATTAGATATAAGCTAGATTCACATTATATCATTCGATTTCGTGCAGAACTTTCTCATTCGCGGGCAAAGTTCTACTCGGAATCAAATGGTGTGCCAGTATTTGTGAGATACCATCAAACAATGTGTCGGTAATGAATGACAGCACCAACAACACTTATTTTTATTCGAACAAGTTAATGATCGAACCAGATTTCAAGAAAATTATTCGAAAATATTTATAAAACTGTTTTTGAGTGCTCCTATCCGATGCTCTCATCAAAAATACAGTGATCATCTTTTAATACGTGAGATGGATATTTGTGCGAGTATATTTTGTTGTGAATCTTTAGGGTCCATGGCTGCATCCGATGATAGATAATCCTGATTTCAAAGAAGATCCAGAAATCGGTATATATGATGATTGGGGTGCGATCGGTTTTGATCTGTGGCAAGTGAAAGCAGGAACGATCTTCGATAATATTGTCATCACGGACGATTATTCAACAGCGAAGGTTTGTTTCTTTGGGCGCATCAATTCTCCGCTGCGCATTTTTTTTCGAACTGCACATTCGTTGAAAGCGAACATTTTTATGTTGTATCAATGCAATTGATGTACGATGAGGAATTGTTCTCATTGTTGCTTTTTCTATGAATAGTACATTTGTTTGTAACAATATGAGTTATTTTTAGACATTTGCTGCACTAACATTCGACGAGTTAATGATCACTGAACGATACAAGAAAAAGGAACGATTAGCGAAAATGAAAAAAGAAGATGAAGAATTAGCAAAGAAAAATCAAGAAGAGTTTGAAAGGGAAACGAAAGATGAGAGTGGAGAAGAGGAGATCGTTGATGGTGATGAGGGTAAGGAGAAGAAGGAAAAAGATGAGACTGTTGATGGTGGTGAGGGTAAGGAGGAGAAGGAGAAGGAGGAAAAGGAAACGAAGGTGTGTTATGAATTTGATCGGAACTTTATCAATCAGAAGAATTCCGTCTTTGAAATGTGACTGTGACTGCATTAAATGCGTTTTATCGGCTGCATATACAATTCATATTTTTGAAATTCCACATGTAAACAATGTGGATATTATAAAAGGTTGCCGTGACGAAAACGGTTTGATTTCAGGATGAATTGTAAAATGTGGAGTGGAACCGAGATGTGCAGTGGAATGGAAGCGGCTCAACGCCGTCGCATTCATCGTTTCACAGTCTCATCTTTGATTTGATATGAACGAATCTATTCGTTTCTCGTTTTAGGAAAGAAGTGCCATCAAAAAATTTTATGTTATTCACTTTAACATTTATTTTTGCGAGAGTATATTTGTGAAGTGTTCTAATTGAACACTATCTGTGCTGTGCCTGGAAAGTGACCTCCATTTATGTTGTTGATTTAATGAATTTGAATAATAATTTGAATTGTTAATTTGAAGTGATAACGTATTTGTCTTTTGTTCATTCATTTGCTGTGTGATTTGTTTATTCGTCCTCATATTTATCCACCCTGAGATATTATTTCTTATATTTGGTGTTAGTCTTTGGTACCACTGTTGTATATGTAAAATATTATGATTCTTACATATCATTAGTTGATATTTTTCTCGGATATCATTAATTGAATTTATGATTCTAAGAAAATCCAACGCTGATGCCTTAGTACTAAAATAGTATGAAGATCTAATATCATTTGTTGATTAATCGCCTTCGAACCGTTAAACTTTGTTGAAACTGAGGTAATCTGATTATATTTGTCTCTGCATTGTTGTTGAATTAAGTTTTTAGTTGAATGCATTATGACTGTGATGATTTTGTTGTTTCTTGTCATCTTGTTGTGCAATTGAAGAATTCCTTTGCAATATTTTTCCTTAATCTTCAAATGCATAAAAATAATTAATCCATTGAATTGTTGACATCTTCAGAGTTTCAGTACACTCGTAGCCAAACGGCCGAGATGTCGTTTACAACTGAGTAGTTGGTTATTACCGCAAATCGCATCTCAATCGAAATACTTGATATTTTGAGGGGAAAGTCTCAACGAGGCTTTCAAAACTATCGTTATTCACTGTATTCATTGTCATTCCATTGTTGTTGTGATTCGTCCTGATCGAGCAAATTTGAAATTAAACTTCTTCGATAGTTTCTCCTTCTTTCTTATGGTTCGACAACCATTCCTTCAAATACCAAGATTATTTTCGTACTACCCGAATAACACTTGTTCTCTCCCTAAAGACTGTTTTTCTGGTTGAATTATCGCAGCTGTCTAGTTAGATCAGTGGTTGACATTTTAAATGAATTGAACTTTCACTTATGTTGATCAACATTCAAGTCAGTTTTATTAATTCTGATAGGTAATATTGAACGAGCGGACGAATATTTCGTACTATGTGAATACTTTTTGAATATTTTTGGATTCGCCTACGGTTTCGTCGGTCTGTTTTTGGACTGAAAATAGAGAGTGCCAGCAGAGGACAGCAGATTCGATTCTCTGTGAAAATATGAATCTGTCAGATCAGTTTACAGACTGTGAGTTTTACCGTCATTTCATCTGATCAATGAATGCTACCTTCATTCTCGTAGATTACTGTAATTGTCGCTAACAAAGTGTAGGAAAAACTTTCCAAATTCTTATTTTTTAAATTGATGGAATCCGATTGCAACTTCAAATAGCCATCAATTCTAGGTTTTCACCCATCGATAAGTTCCTCAATGAGTATTTTCATAAAGTAAAGTGAAATTCTTCAAAGAGTATAAATCAGTTGAGTGAGTATTCAGTTTTTATCGTTTTCAGTGAGTTTAGCGACAGGTGCAGACGCTATGATCGAAAGGATTATGTCGAATGAGGATGTCTTCTATCGTTTGCAGCAGCGTGGTGCTCCAGATTTAACCGATGATGAAAAGAGGTACAAGACTCACGCTGGTTCAGCTAGCGATCTTTCATGTGACAGCCAAAACCAATCGAGTTGTTGCTCATTGTCAGATATTGTTGCATTTATGGTATCTTGTGGAAGTATTTCCAATTCACGGAATGCATCCGAATTCAAAACATTTGAGTGGATATTTTTCGATCTGAATGACTGACGATCTTCAAAGAATACAACGACCATCGCAATTTCAGAACAATATTGAGCGATTTATTCAAAACACAGCCATGCGTATTCATCAGTCGATACTGTCACTATATGATACCGTCGGATTGCGATTGTTTCAATCTGAATGATTACGAGATTGCGTTCTATTCGAAGCTAATAAATGACAAGTGCGAAACTGAAATTCAACAATCTTCGAAAAAGGTTCGCACAGAATTTGACGTGTCATGTTGAAGAATCTCTGTTATGTAAGCATCAGTCCGATGACTAAATTGTTTGTGGTGAATGAGATAATTTTTGCGTACTCTTATGGATCACAGAGACGTTTCATTGTAAGGATACGGTTGTTCGAAATCGAAGGTATGCAGAAATGGAACGACTGAAACGAGAGAGTGACTATTTTTCGAATGCGAAAATGCGAGAGCGAGAACCGTTGTTATTCGATAAAATGGTCGGGCAGTATCTTCCTGAAGAAGGTTTGGTTCACTTGAGAGAAACATATGACCAAATAGAAAGAAAGCGCATTGTTCCATATTTTATGTGATCAAATCGCAACTACTAAAAATTCTTGAGACGATTCTGTCGAATATTTTCTTTTCAGAGCAAATTTACCTGAGGCCCTCAGTTGAAAATGATTCACTTTCGGGTGTTTTTATGCAATTCGAAGACTCGCAAATTATCTCGGATCGACGGAAAGCGCAATTGCAACGATGGAACGAGGTTTTTGAGGTAGTTTCNATACTGGTGTTGTTGTTCTGAGCGCTCTGATTTGGTAATGAATGTATTTCCACAGTAAAGGGTTATATTTGTGTTTTACAATGGGAATGTAGGATTTAATAATTGAATCGTGAAAATGGTAATTGCAAGATTTGAAGTCGAATTTTGATGAGGTGAGGATTTCAAGATAATATATTCGGGATGAAGAATTCGTCGACTAACGGACGCATTTTAATAGTGATGATGATTCAAATGGAACTTCTTAGTTTTCTAGTTTTCGAGTAGACATCTGACTGTTGTGCTCATAAGATGAGATGGAAAGTTGATTTTAAAAAATTGACGTGATGATGGAAAAAATTGATGCAAAATGGAAAATAAGATGCAAAATTCTCACCTGATGCATTGTTTATTCTCAATTCGGCAGCGGTAATGAAAAAGATTGTTTTATAGCGATCATATGAAGACGTTGGAGAAAAGAGCCGAAGGACTGACGGTGCTTGTGGCCATTTGGCAATGCACGCAGCCATTCGTGAATGCAACCTGGAGGAATGTTCCGATGACGAGAAGTGCTCCGAGCATGAGATGAGTGACGATGAACTGCTGGAAGGGGAGATGCATAAATTGCGAGTTGAGAAAAAACAATCGGAAAATGAAATCAAAAAAGGTGAAACAGTCGAAGAAAACCAATTGCATGTCGAGCAGAACATGGAAGAGTGTTCGATGTCATCCGAGGATGAAAACGGTAGGGATGTAGAGCAGATGAGAATGGATTTCGTGGATCATATGGAGCAGCGATTTCTGAGAGGTGAGCGAGAGAGCTGTTCTTGTGCGGGTTACTCTCAGAAACACATTGTGAGTGTGGGTTACCAGAATGAATAGTTGCGCTAATTCCTATTGTGAAAGTACCTAGGTTGTTACCTGGACGCGTAATCGGTGTCACTGTTGAACTGTGAAATATGGTGAAATTGAAAGCTTGGGAAAATAGTTCTTGTTTATACCACGAAAAAATTTTAATTTCAGGAGATGATAAAGAGTTTTTCGACTATAAACTGATCGATGAAGAGCCGTATTCGAAGGAAATGCAAAAGATGCACGATCGGGACGTGGAAGATGCGTATTTCGATGATGATTGATGAGCGGATTATGCGATTGACCCAAATGGGCTGAATTATTATCCAATTGTCAAATGATACTTAGAGTTATTTGATTGCAATACGATTTGTGTTGCAGCATTTGTATTGAAATAAGAGTGATCGATCCGGCTGAATAACTGTTCGGAGAAGATGATTGCAGATCTTTTTATGCTTATAATATGTGGCATTTGTGTATGCTGTTGGATCTCTTTTCATAACTTTGTGTTGTGTACATATTGAATGTGAAGAACGAACATCCTGAAATCTGTTCTGTTCTGATTACCTCATTAATCGAATTTATTAAATGGTTTAACTTCAACTCGAACATGTCCTTTGAATGGGATGGTAATAAAGTAATATCACATTTAAATGTTAGATGTCGATCTCAACTGTCATAGAGGGTTTTCATTTGCGGAATGCATCATTTATGAGGATGTTTGTTGCGTGACGAAGATAAGAATTTTCGAGAATTTTTGTGGCGCAGAAGAAATTCAGTCATTTCTTCGTGAATGGCTCAACGCAAGGATGGTGGTGTGGCAGGGTTTTGGCGAAGTGTCCACTTATGTTTGTGCACCCGTTTAGCACTCTCCGAACAAGGTGTGAACTTGTTGCATGTGTAATGGCACACCAGACTTCGAGTGTGGATTCAGCTTTGCTGTCGGATTCTTGTATAAGTATGCAAGTGGCTCAGTTATATCTGAGTGCAGATCATTTGGAGAGAAGTGATTTGATGACTGTGTTCTGTTGTGGAGAAAAGAACAGAGCATTCATGTTCCATCCGTCTCATGATTGTGATTTCCCACACCTAACCCACTTCCGGATACAGAACTGTGAGGTGGTCAGGCTTGGCTAATCCCATATATGTTGTTTTTGTCATGACCTCAGTAATATTGACTGACTGTTTTTGTCATGACCTCAGTAAATATTTGTGATTTATTCGTGTATTTTCTCATCTTTCTCATCCCTATTAGTCATAGGAGTTTTTTTCTCATTGAACAACAGTTTCCATTCCTTTGCATGATTCAATTTTCGTCAATTTTAATACGATTTTAATTTGAATCCTCTTTCGCATTTACCGTGCCGATCAGTTCAAGTTTTACCATCTTTTATTTCCTTCAGTTGTGACATTGCTGTGTGTTCAGTATGGCTATTTGCATTCGGCCAGATGATTGATTTACAGTCGTCTGCTGTGTTAACAAATGTGCAGACGTTTTTGTTTGTACGTATAGCACAGCACCTTTTATTCCTCATTGAATCACTTCGTGACAGTGAGTTGAATGATTCACTTGTTCCGAGGGATTTACCTGTAATGTTTTAGATCGTTTGGTTTTGCATTGAAGAAAGAACCCGTTCGCTTCATGCAAGCATGTGATATCGCTGTATAGTTTTACGGGGTTTTTACGGGGTTCCACCGTTTTTTACATTTTTGAGCGCATTGTCAGTCGAAGTCTGCTGCTGTCGTTTAGTCTCAGAATGCCACGATGTAACCAAAGCGTCATCTGTATCAACGCAACATCCAGTGTAATCGATTCTTGATCGTTTCCAGCGAAACCTCTGTTTGTACTTCATCTGTTTTATACCGACAAAGGGAAGCGATTTGAGAATTATTGAATCCGTATGCATAATCTGAGCAACCCTTCTCAAAAGAGATAGATATGCTTGCCATTTCTTCATGTTCTCAAGCCAGACTTTCAAATTTTATCGCCGCCACTAAGTAAATGAGTACGAAAAATCAGTGATTAGCGGTACACAAAAAAGAGGCCATCCACCATGCATTACCCATCGATTCGCCATCCTCCTCACTACATGTGATGATATACTATTGTATATTCCTTAAAATTGCTACGTTCGCTATACACACGAATAAATAAAACCATCAAATATACACACGCCAATGCAGCAAATACGTAAATAAAACACAATCACCACCGACAAGCAAACGCTGGCTGGGGCTGTACCACCAGCACACAACACTCATGGTCATATAGCGATGGTTCGGTCGGTCGTTCGGTCGCTCCGCTGTAACGTATGAAATGAAACGAAATGAAATATATTGAAGTAGTAGTGAATTTGAAGTAGAGAAGAGGAAAGCGAAGACAGCAGCAGCAGCAGCATATAAGCAGCGCAAGCAAGCAGCAAGCACTCGTAAGAGTGAATGAATGAACAGAAATTGTGAGTGATGTTGTTGCTGAAATGGAACGACGGACGACTACATGAATGAATGAATTAGGAATGGAATGAGTGAAGAACGATCAGATCGAATCGAATTATCGAAATGAATTAATTGCATTGGTGTTCGTGAGAAAACGCTCATAGTGGCTGAACTGTTGTTGTGAAAGTGTTGCTGTTGTGTTTTATTCGATTGTGTTCATTGATGTTATTTGTATAGGATAGGCTTGAATATTTGCTTGTGCTTGCTTCGATTCGCGTAATTGTCGTTTATTCATTTTGCTAGTAAATCTCGGTTTTGTCGTATTTCCAAAACAATCATCATATGCGGCGCGGCGTTCGTTCGTATGTGATCACGTAGCCGTTTGGAATGTTCTGATTGGATGATTCGTTCGATTGTTTATACATAATTCTTATGTTAGTGCTGGTACTAAAAGTTATAAGTTGTTTGCATACGTAACCTAGAGTAGTTTCTTGTCGTGGTCGTGTTCAAAACGATGAGTTTGAGAAGGTTGTGAGTACAACGTTAGAAATGCAGTAATAATAAATACACAAACACCTCACGTAGTGCTCATTGACTGGATGCAAGCAAGCTGGCTAGCATTGGATAGACAATGTGAACTAGCAGCAGCAATAGCACCAGCTCATCATCGTTGCATATAATTGTAGCAGGCAGCTTCGTGACTGTGGTGAGAAGGAGTTGTTTGAACGCAGCAATAAGCCGCATATCGAACGCATCAGCAACAAGAACGATCTCATATATCACACCATCGAATCCAATCATTCCGTACGACTCGGATCGATCAGATCACTTCACTAGAGAGAGAAGAAGATCGATCACTTGGTTGCTGCTGGTGCTGGCGATGATGGAAACGGATACAACTACGGCGGCAGTGAAATTCAACGACGCTACCCAAGGTAAAATTTCCATCTAGCCTGGGAAACCTGCCTGGGTTGGAACACGNCAGCTGTTGGTCGAATTGTCTTGTTTGCGAATTGTCCAGCATTTCGCCAATCGATATTGATTGATCAAATCTGAGTTGTATCATCTTAGAATGATCCGTATCTATGAGATTCCAATTCCGGAGCCAGCCCAGATTTTATTCTCTCCGCGAAAGTTATCATTATAGCTCGTCCTATAAGTCCGTGAGTAACTTGACTGTAACCGAAGAAATCAGAAATCCCGATTCATGGGAATTGCTTCTCGAAACTTGACTCGATAGGAGTATCATCAGTTCGGTTGGTTTTTTGAGGATAACGTTTCATATGACTTGAAATTCTTCCGAATCCTTTCTACAATGCATTGTTTTTTAGTCCATTGATGTTGTTGTATTAGTGCTCGATTGTTTTTAACACGAATGACGATCAGTTACGGTCACTATGATAAGATGAGCGTGTGCCTTTAACGTGAATCTTTCAATTTTTTGTGATGTTTCTCTGGTTGCGCATACAATCAATCGTACACTCGAATGGCGTCAACAAAAAACGAGCGTGACTGCAGTCGTCATTATGTGTGGCACCGAAGGATACACTTTTTTGTTTTCGTAGCGATCGTCTTCTCATCTTTTAGTGGTGATGTGCACTAAAGAATTCGTTGTTTTTCTTCGTCAAATAGGAATTTGTTCTTGCCATATGTGTGATGTGTGTAATTTTTTGGAACGGAGACGACTGCGGGCGTACTGAAATGAACGCAAAAAATTGTTGAGAATCTCTATTAGTGGTCCGAAATCTCATCGAGATTTCGGAACAGTCAATACATGTTTGTCACTTGACTACTACTCTACATTTATTGGTTTCGTGGTCATATCCTGTAAGAATTGTTCTAAAAATCTTTAGAAATCACGTATCTTTGGAATTCAAATGGTTTAATCTTGTGTTATTCCTCAGTTTTTGGTGAATTGCCGCAGGTTGCATACGATTCCAGGCTCTTGCCTTAGCGTCTAACAGTATCCTATGAATTTGTGGGAATAATTTACTGATCGTGAGCATAATATCATAATAATTCATGGTAAAATGTATCTATCTCATGATTTGCTTGTTCAACTATGTAGAAGCGTGCTAACGGAAATTTATTATTTTTTGAATGTTTTTAGTTGTGAAACAATTTCCGAATTCTATCATTATCTGTTTTTTTTACGTAGCGTCATTNTTAGTAGATAAACGCTTGACCATCGCAATGAATAGAATCTCCATTCAGCACTATTAGATGTTCTGTCTGAATTTACATTGAATCGATTAATTCAAAGCAGTGATTTCTTGAGCTTTGCATTCCGAACTGATGGAATTTTTTATGGAATTTTGTTTGTTCGTTTTAATGAAATAAGATTTGTGAACGCGTTTATTTTTGTTAGATGCGCGATGTGAGGACGCTTGCTCGGCTGAAATAATGGAGGCTGCTCGTAGCACTTTGAACGCTCCCAAATGGTTCTACAAAGGCGAAGATCATCAAATTCATGGTCGGTTTTCCGTTTTTTTTTTAATTTTTCTTTGTTGATAATTTTTTGTTGTTCCTCTCAAAGTCAGGATTCTGATAGAATTCACCCATATTTATTCAGATGCTTTCTGGTGTTACCTTATTTCCATCTTTATTAGTAAAATTGATTTCCACTTTGTGGCACATTTGTAATATCGTTGAACAGATAGATCCGATTTGTGTTATTGTTAGATGCGAGCTTATTGCATGATTATAAATTTAAACGTGCACAGTTCGAGATGAGTCACTGAATCGTTAAAAAAGTGACAACTGACAAATACACGAGCGGGAAAAAAAGAGAATTCGCTCACTTTTTTGTATGCAGGAAATAGGAAGACAGTGTTGTCGTCGTATTGTTCGAACTGAACCACTTATCATTTTCAGTCGCAGTGCATTGAAAATATCCACTAATCAGTAGTATGATCGATGAATGCTGAGAATTCTCTTCGTTTCTTATCATAACGGAATGGACATTGATTGAACTGGGCATGCATTGTGTTTGCCATTTGAGATAGTCGGATTCTGTTTCTGTTCGTTGTTTGTGTTGTGTTGATTGCATCGCGTATGTGTAGTTGTGAATTCGTTGCTTACAGGACCGTATTCATCGACCGAGATGCTGAGGTGGCATCGAGCCGGTTACTTTGCCGATTCAATGCCTTTACGTACGGCAAGTGAGGATCGCTTCCATAGCCTCGCCGAATGGACCCAATATGCGAATGGTCACGTAAGTTGATTAGATGCATTATTTTTCTGATTGCTCATAGCGTGTCGTTCAGGAGTATGGTTACAGCTTGCAAAGCGAACGTGACATATTCTGTCCCTAAAAATTGTCAAGTGCATTCATTGATAAGATATGTTTGTTTATTATTATTGTGTTTCTGCAAGTGGTCGTGCCCTTGGTATGTTATAGTTTTGAAAGTGAAAGTAAAGATTAGAAAAAGTATTAGAGGTGAAGTTAGAGCTGAGGTGAGGTGAGAGGTGAAATTAGAGCTGAATTCCTTGAAATCCTGATTTTTTTTCGTTTTCCACTGCTTCTTTGATGGTGAGTATTCTAGTGGTGAGCCAGTTTTATAGTTATGATTAATTATCACGAACTATTCCTCATTTTTTTAATTTCTGAATTTTTTTTAAAATTTCGTTTAATTTTTATTTGATTAATTCGTTTCATTTTCAGAGTCCTTTCCTGTCTCTGGTGAACACCTTCGATCAGCTGATGAACCTCTCGATGGGTATGCATCTCTCGCAACTGATCCTCACGCCGGCGTTTGTCTCTCCGCCGCCGAACGCATTCGTTGTTGTACCTCCGTCGAGCACCACCCAGACGCTATCCCCGCCAACGACGGCCGTCTCTCTCGCCCCTTTCTCGTCCGCTGTTCCGAATGCGGCAAATTTCATCTCGCCAAGTGCTGCTGCGGCTGCGGCCTATCGTCATGCGACAGCGCAAAATCCTCATCATCCCTTAATGCTTCATTCTGGAGGTTGTGCCCAACTAGCCACTGCCTATCAGAATGCTGCAAATCAACAGCTGCTGAACAACACGGCCACATTCTCGCAACCACCATCTGAGCCTGTCGATGAGATGCCTTCAACAACCAGCAACACTCCAGACGACACGGATTGTGGCTGGATTGTGAGCAATTGTGTTAGGAGTACGGTCAGCTTTGCTCAGTTATCGTTGCTTTCGTATTAGGTTTTTAGTTTTTTGTGAAGCATTTTGTGGGCAGAATCNGTTGCGTTCTAATTTAGTCGTTATTCTCATTACTGGATTTGTGAACTGCTTGGTTATGATTTTTTGTTACTTTATTTCACTTGTTCAAGTGAACTTTGCATAGAATACTTGAAGTGAGTAATTTTTGTCGAGTTACCAAGCGGATGTCTGTCCAAGCATCGGCGAAAAAGAAAAAATCAAAGTGTTGTTTACAATGTCGCTTTTTTTGGCAATCATTTCTATATAGTTGAAAGTGAGTTGAGTTCATATTTTGTGAGCATATACTGAGTTAACCGACGTGAGTATGAGTGAAAGTGTTTCGATGAGTTATGCGCACGCTTCAAGATTGCCTCCATGATGGTTTGATGAGGAAACTTTCTTCAAGTGGCAAAGCTATTCCAGGGTCCGAATTTTTTGTTCACTAGGGAAGAGTTGGCAAACTTTCTGTGAAACATCGTCATTAACAGTTCGTCATTCTGAGCACATCTTGTGAATGAGTTAGGAATTTCAAGGATATATCGAATGTCAGATTTACTTAATGCTTTCAGAAATAGTCAGCAGGATGTCACTATCAGTAATTCGCTGATACAACTCACAAATGTTACCAGTTCATTTTGGCAGTCAGTGCGGATTGTAGTCGAAATTTATGTTTATGTATGCAAATTGGAAATGATATATGCATGGAAGTACACAGTCAGGTAGACGTGGTGTGAAAATGTGAATTGTGGTCATAAATTATTTTGAAGGGAATGGTATCGAAATGTGTAGGGACCGAGGAGGCACCATGGTGCGATAAGCGTGATCAGGGAAGCGATCCTGTGGCTGTTATTACGATGGGTCGGGATGTTGCCATTCAAACCTCCAACCGGAAGGTGAGCTCTTCGCTACTCATTATTATCACGACTAATGATGTCGTTATTTCCGTCACATCTTTTTCATTTGATCTTTTCGTGTTTTATGTATTTCACTGTTTCATTTGTTTATTATCAAGATTGAGCAAGTCATGTTCATCAAGTAATTCTGAAGATTGAGTAAAGTAAATCGTATTAAAACATTTTGAATTCAGTGCCCGTTACGTCACCACTGTGCTTGTAGTCATGCGGAAAAATTCTTTTTTNTTTTTTGCTGATTTTGAGAATGTTATGAAGGGCATATACCGGTTTTTTGATTGGAAAGGTCTCTCAAAATAATTTTATTCCTGCATTCAGTTGATTGAAAATTTTCAAAGTCAGACCACAAAATTTTGATATTTTTCATCGAATGACAACGTCGATGTGACAAAATATCTGTTGCCTAGTTGACTATCTCATGTGATCTTCGTCGAACCATTGATAAATCACCATATATGGTTTCTTTTTTTCATTTAAATAAATGAAAAGCGAAATTTCAGTGGATGAAAAATGTTAGTAATGAAAACCACTGCAGTGGTTTTCATTTTAAGAAGTACCGCATATTGGTAAAGTTGAATTGTTGTAGGGAATATCGGCAAGGATACCTCCTTTCTTGGACAGGTTTTATGCCTACTCAGGACAAGTGCTATCTCTTTACTGTAACTGTAGATTTTGTTTCATTATGTCATTATGAGCCCCTTTAAAATTTAGACTATTCAGATATGCGTATCGGATGCAGCACGACTACTTAGCGAATTATTTAACGAAACCGTTGAAATAGAGGATGCCTGAAACGACTGATCCATCAATCGTTTGATCGTGGTGGATTCACTGGTTCTTTGATTCACTCAATCAATTTTTCTTGGCTTTTCTCGTGGAGGAATCATTTGAGATAGCAGCGTACGGGTGCTCAACAATGAACGCTGTTCATTCCTCTGGACGATTGATTGATTTGCAGTTTTTCATTATTATTATTATATTACTCTCTTGGTTGTTATTGTTATCACTATCAACACATTGTCATCGTTATTTGGTCACTGACGCCATTAATAGACGATGGTGTTTTGTCCTCAGTGGAATCATCTCACGGCGATTCGTCAGATCGCTCATCTTCTCATGTCCTGCTGAAGGAAAAAAGAAAAGAATCGTGATGAAGCTGAACCACGTTTAATAAAGTATGTGGCACTCACTCCTACTGATCAACTTGAAAATACTCAAGCGCCCGAAAGGATGTTTTTACTGCGTTTACATACAAAAATGCACAGTTCAATCATAGCAAAATCGCTGAATTTGTAGTGTTATTTACTGAAGTAGTCGAATTCACTTCCACTTTGACTAGTTTAATCGTGGTTCAGCCAGGCAGCTGAATAATTTCCATCTCATCCGAATTAAGATGAATATTCAGAGTCAAGATGAATACATCGATTCATTTCGTTTCTTTGTCATTGTTACCGAATTTCATATTTTGTCATCTTTAGTAATAATAATAATTGTAGAAACTGTTAAATTCTTTCATTTTTATTTAAGTTAGTTCATTAATAATAGTAATAACGATTATGAAAATAATAATCATCATAACAACATTGCTTATTTGCTGTTTACATCTGCGATAAACGTGTATTATTCTTTGCTGTTTGGATATTCCTAATGGCCAAATTCTATTTGAAGAAATGATTTTATTCTTTATCAACTACTATTATCTATAAATTTCTATTAATATGCTAAATTCTATCATATGCTATAAAATATTATACATATTTGAATACATGAAAGTATACATTTATATACATATAATTGAATTTATAGAGATGCATATACACACGCAAATAAATGGATGAATAGGATTTATTTCATCGACATTGTTGAAATACTACATCTATTTTGTATGGCTTGTTTGCTTGTTACGCTCTATATGTGGTAGCTCTGCGGTGATTTTCTTTTTTTTGTTTATGAAACGATAGGCGATTAAGACTGTTCATTATGAGCCACAATGAGCACATCGTGCTTTGCAACTATCGCTGATTCGTTCGGTTGAGCAGAGAATCAACTTGTAAATTTTGTCGTGTGTCGATTGAATCGAGATTGTCATTTCGAAAATTCGGCCACTGAACTTCAATCGTTTATTACGGTTTTTGCATGTTTAGATTAAGCGCTTTTTTCTTCTTTTTTTTATTCAACGAATAAAGTGGACGATAATGCTTCATATATCTGTGCAATGCTCAATTTTCTAAGCGTGAAACACGAACGTCTACCCATTTCCTAATTTCGATCACTCTGCTCAATTCTTGTTCAATTTCAATTTTCGTTTAATACTGAATATTCAAGAATTAGTGTGTATGTACGTGTGTGTTGTATTTTGTTAAAGTATTTTCCTTCTAATTTAAGCTTTACTGAAATATTGCAGTTAGCGCAACTTCGAAATTGGATGTTGTTTGCTTTGCTTCTTCGCCGAACGCGTTTCTTTATATTACTGGTTTTTTTTTGTTCGCTTTCTAAATTGTATTGCTCATATTATGGTCATTCGTTCATTTGTTTGTTTCTCTTTCC